CTAAAGAACAGGGGTCGACTTGGGAGTAAGGCCACAGGTGGATGATGAATGGCCCCGCCCAGAGGAAATAAAAGAGGAGTGGAAGGGGAGTGGTGTTTGCAGGAGGTAATTAGTTCTGCAGAGATCGGCCTGGCAGCTCTCCAAGCCAGATAAGGTCTGTGACTGTAAATCCTCCCTTGAAGGACTTTGCTGGATGTGAAGGAGCAGAATTCACAGTCAATTAATAAAAGGGTTTTTTTGTCAGGACAAGGACTTTGCTTCAGGCTCTTGGGAAGCCTCGGTCAGAACAGGTGGTGGGAAGGAGGGGAAGAAACTTGAAAGAACCCTTTTAGTAGAAGGTCGGTGTCAGGCAAATCAAAAGTCACATGTTTGAATCAATAAGCCAAGATCCATCAACTTTGGGACTTGATTTAGTTCAGTGTTTCTCAACCGTGACAACTTTATCATGCGGTTTCCTTGGGAAGATTTTTCATTTGATTTGCCATTGCCTCCTTTCTAGGGCTGAGAGCAAGGGACAGGCACAGTGTCACCCAATTGCCTTTCATGCCTAAGACAGGACTAGAACTCACCCTCTCCTGGTGGTTGGCCCAAAGCTACCCAGCTGGCTTTCATGCCTAAGCTGGGACTAGAACTCCCCACATCCTGGGGATTAAAGTCACATAGATGGCTTTCATGCCTAAAGCGGGACTAGAACTCCCTGAATCCTGCTGATTAGCCCAAAGTCACTCAGGCAGCTTTCATACTTAAGGTAGAACTACAACTCACCTTCTCCTGGTGATTGGCCCAAAGTCACCCAGCTGGCTTTCATGCCTAAAGAAGGACTAGAATTCCCTGTCTCCTGGTGATTGGCCCCAAAGTCACCCAGCCAGTATTTATGTCTAAGGCAGCTCTAGAACTCACAATCTCCTGGTTTCCAGCCTAGCGTCTTGACCACTGCAAACAAACTACCTTTCAATATGTTGTGTTACTTTGGCAAGCGGATGCCTTAAACTGCCCCCTCTGCCTTTCAATCCTTCTTCCTCTTTTAATTGCCCTGTCTTAGGAGCGTGGAGAAAGAAGAGAGAGAAAACGGCGGAAAAGACGAGGTTTGTCATCCAGGCGCAGTTCTCCTGGATATGAAAGAAATGAAAGAGACGGAAAAAGATTCCAGGCTACCAGAAAACCTGGGAGATAGAGACACGGGAGGAATCGGAATGGAAGTTTCCTCTGATATTCCCAAAGGAGCCATCACGATTCCCAAGGCATTAGGATAATGTTGTTAAACTCAGTAATAGCGCATTAAAGAAACGTCTTGCTTTCTTATAGCATATCCAAGTGGAGGCATTTGCTAAGTAGAAAATTCTAAATAGGGGGGGAGCAATCAAGATTGACCCAGAGATTGGTTTCAAAATCTGTCTGCAACTAATCGGGCTTTTAATATCAACAATTGGTTCCTCTTCCTTGCTTGGGGGGAGGAG